AATCACTTTCAATTAATTTTCATCTGCAGTTGTAGGATTAAAATTTACTGCCCTTTAGAGTCTTTGTAATTTTTGGTGTGAGATACTAAGCTAATTACTAAACCTCTCTCCTAGTCTTGGATTCCTTATCAGTAAAATGGTGATAACAATAGTACCTATCTCATAAAATGATTGTGCAGATTAAATAAAATAATCCATATAAAATGGTATATAATAAGTGCTCAATAAATGTTAGTTATTGTTATGTTTAAAATACTAAATTTCTCTAAAATAATCACAACACACATATTCTTAACCAAAAGTAAAAATAATACAGCTTTACWATAGTAATAGCATCTACACTATTTCTTTTTTTGGGGGGGCGGGGAAAAGGGTACCGGGGATTGAACTCAGGGGCACTCGACCACTGAGCCACACCCCCAGCCCTATTTTGTATTTAAAGACAGAGTCTCACTGAGTTGCTTATTACCTCGCTGTTACTGAGGCTGGCTTTGAAATCCAATCCTTCTGCCTCAGCCTCCCAAGCTGCTAGGATTACAGGCGGGCACCATCATCTCCAGCAGCATCTATACTAATTATAAACCTACTTTTTACATGAAGGAAAGAAATTGGTTCTTCAATGTTTAGAATTCAGATTGAATCATACTTTAAACTATTCTAATGATACAACAAATAATATAATATAATTATAATAATACCTCATTATTATTTATTACTTCCAAAGCCTGTTGGTGGTTTTGGTAGAGTGGGTGTCTTCTGTCAGGCTTACTCTTTAAGTGCAGCTTCTTTTTAACTGGATTTTCAAGTTCAAATGTTGGTGAACTGGTATCCAACAGTTGTGAAATATGTGGCACAAATATGAAAGGCTTAAAAACTGATCTAGAAGAAAGACACTTCATTAAATTGACATGTCAAAATGTTTAAAAATTCAGCATTATTCTAAGTTTTCCAAGATTCTCTTAGAGAAGTTTCTGTTAATGATGCTACATAAGTAAGTTGTTCCGTCATATTAATTATGCTTATGCCCAATTCCCAGTGTACAGTGTGATCTCATTTATAGCAGGGGCAATGCTTAATTTAGGGCTGCATTCATACCGACCTACTGAGAGCACAGCACATAYACCATGTCAGTGAATGAACAGTTTTCCATTTCCTAAGGTAAGAACAATCCTCAGTGTTATAGACTGAGGATTATAACTTGGGGTGAAAATCAGCACAAGTGTTAATGAGGGGACACAGGTTTCACACTCTAACTTCTTGAARTATCTTTAACAATATGAAAGTCTATAACATTAAGGGATAGCAAGTACGAAATCATTTCTAAATGTAATGTGGTGTTAAATTTGGTAAGAGATACAAATGACTTGAATCAAGATAGTCTATAAATAAAGTCCTAAAGATATAACTTGAACTACTGATAGTTTTATATGTATGTGTTTTCCATATGTACATAAGTAAATCTAGCACAACTATATTACTTATTCAATTTACTAACTTATAAACCATCTAATGTCATTAATGTCTGAAATCTGAGTAGAGAAACCTATCTACCTTCTTTTCTTGACAATGTTAAATATATTTGTAGGAAARAGGAGTACAGATAAGGGTAAATACAAAACTATAAGCCTTTTCTTCCCATAAAAAATGAGAACAGTTACACATTTATGGAAATTGCAATCTAAAATTGGCCCAGAAAATCCACCAACAAGTTGTCTTATTTATGTAACAAAAATTTAGTCTCACAGAATTATCAACACACTATGATTCTTCCCCATACCATGACCACTTGCTAGTTCACAGTATTTTGTGACTTTACCTCTCAGGATCAGGAGTCCNTGTAACAAAAATTTAGTCTCACAGAATTATCAACACACTATGATTCTTCCCCATACCATGACCACTTGCTAGTTCACAGTATTTTGTGACTTTACCTCTCAGGATCAGGAGTCCCCGTAAAGAAGTGAATGCAAGGAAGGTTGGAATCTTGAGGTAAAACAGAAACCATGCTTGCAGTGGTCAGGAATTCTCCCTCCATATTAATGCCACTTGGTTTATCTCGGAGAATTTCCATCATTGTTTCAAATGTAATGTTTCCTAGGGAAATAATTTTAAAATCCATTAAATATGTTTGCATATATATATTTTACAATTACAAACTGCTTTCTCTACTGATAATATAGGAGATATCAATCTTGGTATAAATGAGATATCAACTATAAAGAAATTCTGTTTCAACAGCACATTGTCACAGAAAGATATTTTCTTTTAAATATAAAATATGCAAAATCTCAAAAACATTCTAATACGTAAAAACTTTATAAGCAAAAGCAATCAATAGTGTAAAAATACATTCAATCCTATTGCACTWACAGAATTTTTAAGGCATATTTAGTAATGAACTGATGATATTTCAATAATTATTATCTGAGGCTGTCCATTCAATCAATAAAAAATATTGTATTTAGTTTCCAATATTATAAAAGATTATTTTTATAAAATAAAACATTATTTTTCCTATATTAATTTTTGTGTCTGACATTAATAATCTTACATGAAAGTGTGGGCTAGAACTTGAAAAAGAATGAAGATGACAAAACAYATTATGGTTAATGGAATTTGGGTGTACATAATCCTGCTGGACTACTTTAAAGATTAAACATCCATGTGTGAGATGAAATATGTATGTGATGATATATTGCATGTGATTATACTGTTTTATGCTTTTATATTTAATGTGTATTGTTTTTCAGAATTTTTTTTGAGGAAAATAGAAAAAATTATTTTCTATCTTTAGTAAATATAACATGTCCCTGGTTACACWGAGTTTCAGAATTCAGTATTTGGAAAGCATCACAAAAATTTTTTTAAAGTCATTGATGTTTTCAGACAGCTCTGTTCCTTGCTATAYACATTTATAGTCAAAGATGTGGCTCAGAACCTTAGAGTAACAACAACAACAAAAAAATTCCCTAACCTACCTGATGTAGTTATTATGGTTTGGATATAAGGTATTTCCCAAAAGCTCCTGTGTGAAGGCAGGAATGTTCAGCAGTGAGAGGATTAGACTGTAAGAGTTGAAACCTAATTAGTGGATTAASCCACTTGATGGATTAATAATTTGAATGGACTAGTTGGGCAGTAACTATAGGCAGGTGGGAATGACTGGAGGAATTAGGTCTCTAGAGGTGTACCTTTGTATTTGTCCCTGATCCCTCTCTGTCTGCTTCCTGGACATCATGAGTTGAGTAGTTTTCCTCCATCAGCCCTTCCACCATGATGTTATGCCTCACCAAGAGCTCAGAGCAATGGAATCAGCTGAGACCTCTGAAACTGTGAGCCAAAATAAACTTCCTCCTCAAAGTTGTACTTGTCAAGTATCTTGGTCACAGCAATTAAAAAGCTGACTAACACAGCAGTCCTA